ATCACAGCCCCTCTAGGTCTTGGCAAATAGTCTTTGTGAATTGTGGTGGCCAATCTATCCATCATCTGTTGCCCAGCTTTCCAGTGAAGAATATTTCCAGAGTTAATCAGGTCAATTCTGAGGTTAAGGATGAAACACCCAGTTCCCAGCTATGTATGAAGCCTTCTAGCGAGGTTAGAATCTCCCAAGGCTGTGTTTTCTCTGAATGGAGCCTTCAAGTATCCAAAGTACCTTGCTGGTGTAGGCTGTTAATAAATTATTATTGATTGATTGAGAACCCAGAGCCACCTCTGAGCTTTAGAAAATGAGGCAACTGAGGAGGACTTGATCAGAGTTCATAAAGTCAAAAACATCCTCTCCCTTCTCCCTATAATTAGGGCAGAATCAAATTACCAAAAATGTTCCTAATGATGTCCTTGAATCATCAAGAAAAGGTTAAATTATATTCTGTATCATTCATTGAAGAAGGTTATTCATCATGCATAATCCATGTTGGAAAGATTTCCACCAAAAGTGGCTGATATTTTTTACAGTGTTTAAAAGTGTAAATTTGTTGGGTGGACCCCCTCTAGCCAACTTCTAAAATGACAGGGACAAGTGTCACATTGGCCAGGTAAGCATGGATGGAGAGAACATTTGAATCAGTGAGTTCACAGATCCACTTGGATATTCCCTAACAATGTCAAATAAAGATGCTTTTACTGTAAATTAACTTGTATGCTATATATTATAAATATGCTCTGGCTATACTCTTTTCTCATCCTTTTTAGCTTATTTTCTGTGCCTGTAACAGTGACCTGATTCCATTAGTATGATCTTTACATAGATTTGGGCAGCTAGAAGGAGCAGTGGGCCTGGAGTCAGGAAGACCTGAGTTCAAATCTGGCCTCAAACACTTAACTAGTTTTATGACCCTGGGCAAGTCACTTAACCCCATCTGCCTCATCTGTAAAATGAACTGAAGAAGGAAATGGCAAACCACTCCAGTATCTTTGCAAAGAAACCTCAAATGGAGTCACAAAGAGTCAGACACAACTGAAAAACAACTGAACAATTTATATAGATGTGAATGACATTTTTCTCCTACTACAAAAGTGATGTAGATTAGAAATACAGAACAAAATCCTGGCATTGTGACTTACTTGACTCTGGACTGAGAGTAACAAAAAAGGTGGTGTAATCTCTCCCTGTGGAATAAGTAAGTTTTCATTGAGCATGGATGGATTTGATCTAGTCCTCTGCAAGACTGGATAACTTAATGCAGTCCTTGAATTCTGCTCCTCTCCATATGGCTGCAGGAATAATTGAGGCAGGAAAAGAGATGACAGCTTCAATCACCATAAAGGATGAAAGCTTTGCCTCTCCAGGGTGGAATTAAGCTCATCTTGAGTCACCCCTAAAAATCTAAAATCTTGGGTTCATGCACAGTTCAAGTTTTGTTATCCTCAATTTTCTGGAGACTGAAAGACATAACAATCCTAAAGTGGAATGGGAGTCGGAAAGTGCAAAGCCTAGAATCAAATTTACTGCTTGTCCTTCCCAGCCCACATGGTGCTTCACCATGCCTGAGCCCGTTTACGGTAACTCATCATGGTGGCCCCGTACCTAATCAATTCCAGGAGGCTTGGAGCTAAGGGAAGTTAGAATTTCTTGCATGCCCCTCCTCTGAGGACAGGCCAGAAACAGTGACAAAAGAGGGCTTGGAAGAAGCTTCCTCATTTTAAAATAGGTGCTTGACCTGCCCTACCAACCAATACTTCTTAGGGGGTCTCCCCTGCCTTGCCATTTTAGTCATCATAATGACCATTAGAGGCCCTGTTGTTTAGATGCTCAGTGAGAAGCTGAGCAATGATTGGTAGAGTGAATATAAAACTCAACCTAAAGACAGAACAACTTGGTTCCAATCTCCATTAGCTTACCACCTTCCTTTCATTGGGAAAGTCTCTTGACTTAACCTCTCTCAGAATCAACTTCCTTATCTATAAAGTGAAGCTAATGACAGATTCAGAGCTCCAAGGGACCCCAGAGGTCATCTATTCTGAAGCCTTCAGTTGACAGATGAGGAAACCAAGACTTAGAGAGGTTAAGAGACTTTCCCAAGGTCACACAGGGAGGAAGCATTCAAAGTGGAATTCGAACCCTCTGCTTCCAAGATCCTTCCCACAATACCAGGCTGAGTCCACTTACTCACAAGGTCATTGCAAGACTCAAGTGAGATAGTAGAGTAAATATTTTTTCAAATCTTAAGTTGTTATATAAGTGTCAATTATTAATGAAATTGAACACAATGAATAGCATGTTTTGCTCCCCAAGAATCAGCAGACTAGAGATTTTAATGAAGTTTTTCCTGGTTATCTAAAATAAAGGTGTCAAACATGGCCCAAACCAGATTAAAATGTAATTGGGAATGATTTTACAAAATAAATAAAAATACAATAGAACAAATATAATGTCAATATGCACTTTTAGAGATCTTTACATACAACTCCCATTTCTATTTGAGTACAGTCCAAAATAAATAATCATTCACATCATTCCCTTGTTGAGTTGGCTATAAGATCATTAGTTTTAAGAGAGAAAAACAGAGACAGAGAGATACAGAGACAGAGAGGCATTTATGGCTGGAGGACACAGAATTTTTGAAGACAAAAAGTTATGATATAGGCTCTCCATTTTTCTCTTCTAGGTTTAGTATGTAAAAACATTTACTTTATCTTTTAATGTTTTTTTTTAATTATTCACTTCACATTGTTTTATTTAAATGATCACTTGTTAGTGTTCCAAATGAATCTTAGCTAAAATTAATGAAGATTGTTGATTGATTGAAAACCCAGAGCTACCTCTGAGTTAAGAAAATGAGACAACTGGGGAAGACTTGATCAATCCATAAAGTCAAAAACATCCTCTCCCTTCTTCCCATAATTAGGGCAGAATCAGATCACCAAAAATGTTCCTAATGATGTCTTTGAGTCATCAAGAAAAGATTAAATGACATTCTGCCTCACCTGCTTAAGAAGAGTATTCATCATACGTGATCCATGTTGGAAAGATTTCCACTAAAAGTGGTTGATATTTTTCAATGTTTAAAAGGGTAAATTGGTTGGATGGATCCCCTCTGGCAAACTTCTTGGAGGTCAGGGACAAGTGTCACATTGGCCAGGCATGCATGGAGGGCTGGTGATCTTCAGCTTTGATTTAAATGGTTATAAAGCCTGTACTATTAGCATTGACATAGTATTTTTACATCTCTTAGTATGGAAGAGGAAGAACAGCTGTACATTGTTGCATTTAGATCAAATTGGCATTTTCACTGGAATGGAAAATGAGTGACATTTGAGTGTATGCAAGTCAACATGGAATATTATTAATCACCTATTTTCAATCAACAAACACTTATCAATCCCCTACAAAGTGCCAGGCACTATGCTATGTGGGAGAGCACAAAAGCAACAATGAAATAGTAGTCTCTACCCTCAAAGAGTTTACATTCTACTGGGAAGGCACTTGTACAAAAAGGAAGGTATACAAAATACATACTACTTAATGGAGGTGGGGGGTGCTAAAAGCTTAGAGAGGGTACAGAATCAAGAAAGACTTGATGGTGTAGAGAAGGTGGTGCTTGAGCTGGTCTTCAAAGGAAATTGAGAATTCTAAGAAATGGAAGTGAGGAGGGCATGTATTCCAGACATGGGGGGACAATATGTACAAAAACAAGAAGATGAGAGATGGCTTTTCATACGTGAGGACCATTGTTTCAGGTGCTGGGAATCAAAAACAAAGCATGGAAGAGTCGTTAGCTCCAAAAAGCTGAAATTCCACCAAGGCTAGGTTTAGGTTTTTTTGTTTGTTTTTGTCTCTTCATTTCGGTTTGTTTTTTGCATCACGGATCTCTTTGGCAGTCTGATGAAATTTGTGGATCCCTTTGCAGAATAATGTTGCATAATGCCTAAGATAAAATACATAGAATCACAAAAGAAATCCAAGGTTAGCAAAGATAAAGTGTCATTTTTCCTGTCCAAATTCATGGACCTCCCTGAAATTCACAGCTCCCAAATCACGAACCTCTGCACTACAGGGACAGGTTTTATATCTATACCTCTATTCCCAAATGAACATTGAGATAGACAGTACATAGATGTTCAAAGTGTAAATGATCTGAAGTTACAGGTAGAAATTTAGAATTTGTAAAGGTCACATGGGGTTGGTAGGTGGTATAGGGTTTGGAGTCAGGAGAACTCATCTTCCTGAGTTCAAATCCAGCCTCAGACACATAGTAGCTGTGTGACCCTGATCTAGTCACTTCACCCTGTTTACCTCAGTTTCCTCATCTATAGAATGAGCTGGAGAAGAAAATGGCAAATAGTGTCTTTGCCAAGAAAACTCCAAATGAGGTCACAGTCAGACACTACTGAAACAAATGAACAACAAAGTTCACGCTCATGTATGTAGCCTAAGTAAGAGGAGAAGTGATGGGGAAAGACAATCAAACCACAATTCTCTCCAGAGAGCAGGAGAGGGCTAAATGAATAACTGGGGGAAGGCTTCCTTTACTGTAAAGCAATTGATTTTATGCTCAAGCCCTGGGCCTTATCCACTCCAGGCAATTTTGTCAGGAGTCAGCCAGCCATTGGTCTGAGTGGGATCCCTTCTGTTCAATGCTTGCAAGTCTGTTTCCTAATCTTTGTGTCCTAGGTTGCTAGGTACCTGTCTACTCCAGAGTACTCTAATGGCTTCAAGGGAAGGGAAGGGGAAAAGAGGAGCAACCAAAGACTAGCTGTTTCTATGATGTTTCAGCAGCTGTTCTAAGACCCAGCTGTAAAGTGTCTTCATTTTTTGAAATAAATCTGTTTTAAATTCCTTTGATTCTGGGAGAGATATTAATGGTGTTCTGCCAAATCTTTTTCCCATTCCCTACCTTGTTTGGCTCAAATAAGCCAACACAAACTCTGACAATCCAGTCCGCGGCAAGTCATTGACCAATTTTGTCATTTCCTTTTTAGAGTTGGTATTGATCCAGATGAAGATCTGAAGGCAGATTCTTCACAGCAGGCAAGTCAAGGTTTCCAATGCCTATGTTTGTCATGACAAGAGGAAATACTCCAATTCTATAAAATATGTGTCCTTAGCCATAGTTATGCCCAACATTTTTAGCAAAGGGTTGCCTCTGCCATTAAGGCAGAATGGATATTTACAGAATCCATGGAGCTCCCAAATATTTATTGCCTGGATGGCCAGGAGCTGTTAGGAGAATGATTTTTTCGATTTCTCCGTGGGAGCCCAAACCGAGGTTGCTACTGGTTCCTCTTGAGTATATATTTCTAAAGCAGAGAGTTGTTGAAACAAGAGGAAGGCAGAAGGAAACTGCCCTTGGGGACTATGCCAGACTAAAATAAGTGGCCATTATCTGCAATGACCTGGAAGTCCAGTTGAGAACTGTTCCCAAACAATGTGTATTTCCCTCAAGTAACCAAAATCTCTTATTCAAACTTGAGTCTGAACTTGGCATCAGCACCAAGGTTGTTTTTTGGAAAATTTGCATTAGTGATTTCTAACTCAGTGGTTAAAAATTAGCATGTGAAAAGGTTACAGATTTTGTAAGAAATGGAAGGAAATAGACATACTTGGATAACATCTGAAGAGGAGACATTGCTTAAGAAATTGCAGGGGGAACATATTTTATTATGAAAATAATATCCCAGTTATTTTCTTGATTTTTTGCTATCTCTCCTGAACTCCATGAGAATAAATTTTGTTGCTACCAAAGGAAGTTGTTTTCCTATTTAGTGTTGGGGTAAAGACGGAGCAACCATTCCATACTTCAGCTTTCCCACTCCATCCAGCCGTTAAGCCAGGCCACCTCCTCATCTGTCTGCTACTGTGTACACCTCCCCAATACACCCTTTTCTACCTCCCCTAGAGCAAAACTCCCTTCCCCGGCTGCTTCTCCCTTTTGCTTGTTGTCTTCACCTTTTAGATTGTAAGCTCCCTGAGGCCAAGGAACTCATCTGCCTGTTTTTCTTTTTTAATATCTGTATCCCAAATGCTGAGCACAGTGCCTAACATATAGTAAGCACTTAAAAATGCTTTATTATTAAGCCAGCTATTAAAAAAAAGCTAAGTATCAGGGAAAATGTAAGCCCATATAATATTTAATTTATAATAATTCACAATCCCAAAAGGGAATGAATATCTTCTTCTTCTTGAAGATCATCAAACAAAGGTGGTAATCACCTTTTGGTTATGTCTTACAAGGGAGTCATATATGAGTTGGACTAGGTGACTCGAGGTCCCTTCTAACTCCGAAATTCTGAGATTCTATAATTCACCAAGAATAACTTATATTTGGACCCGGTTTAGCAGCTACAAAGTACTTTATACATATTATATCATTTTATCCCTATGATTCCCCTGTGGTGTATAAAGTGTATTATTATCCCCATTTTACAAATGAGAAAACTGAGGCTCATAGAGATTAAGTGACTAACCCAAGGTTAGCGGTTTAGTAAAGAAAAAAGCAAGGGCTGAAATGCAAGTCTTTTGAGCCTTAGTCCAGTGAGATTTCCATGGTATTACACTGCCCCCTCAACAACTATTTATTAAGTGCCTACTGTATACAAGTCGTGATGTGATATGATAATGATGATAACATGTTTATTCAGGATCTTTTCACTCAAAAATGTTAGAAGGCCAGATATATTCCATGCCACTTTTACAGACTTCACTCACTAAGAAACTAGCTTTAGTGGGGAACACATTGCCCACACTGATCCAATTAAGAGCCAACATATTAACTTTATAAAAATAGTAAACTATCCATGTTTATAGAATCATTTGTTGTAATGAGAAGACAAGAGGGCTTTGGGGCAGCTAAGTAGTCAGTCGGTCTGTCAACAAGCATTTATTAAACACTCCCTATGTGCCAGACACTGTGCTGAGCACTAGATACATAAACTAAGGCAAAAACAGTCCCCACCCTCAAGGAGCTCCCATACTGATGGGGAAGATGACAGGCGAACAACTATTTACATACAAGACATGGACAGTATGAATGAGAGATAATTTTAGAGGGAAGGCACTTGAGGTGGGAAAAATCAGAAAAGGAGGGAGAAAAGCAGAGTCATGAAGAACCTAAGGAGAGAGAGGTGAGAAAGAAAAGCATTCCCGGTGTGAGGGACAGCCAGTGAAAAGGACAATAGTCAGGAGACGCAGTGTTGTGGGTGAGGAAGGACAAAGACAATGTTGCTGGATCACAGGTGAGGAAAGTGTAAGAAGAAAGGAAAAGTCAGAAGGGGCCAGGTGGTGAAAGGCCCTAAAGCCCAAGCAGAGAATTCCATTGATCCTGGAAGTAATTGGGGCCCGGGGCGGGGGAAGGGGAGAGGACTGGAGCTTAGCAAGTAGGCGTTGGGGTGGGGCAACGTGGCTATGCCCACAAATTTAAGAATGCTTCAGACAGGATTCTATGTAAATTCTTTAATTTCTGTCAGCCACCTGCCTTCTTTAAAAAAAAAAAAAAATCCATGGAAGAAAATGTTGAAAGTCCTTTGGTTGCATTATGTTCAACTGATCTATGCAAAGCTCCAGAGGGGGAAGTACCTCTGTACTAAGGTATGGTTTGTGATTAATAAGGATCAGTCTCACCCTGTGGAATGATAGTCAACATGTCTAGGGAAAGATTGGTCCAGGGGTGACCAGAATACAACTTCAGAGCCAGGGAAATCTGCCAAATTAGTGGCCAAGGAGTCCCAGGTTCTAAGAAGAAAAATGCCAGACCCTGGGACAGGGCAGAAATCTGAGGTCCAAGTTCATGAGCAGTACATCACAGGCCATAGAGGTCCACAGGGAGTATTCAGAAAAACAACACGGCAGAGGGCCAGGGCTTTCTTTTATCATGCTGATTTGCTTCCTGCAAAGGGTCCGCCTCCAAAATGCATCATTTTGTGACCCCAGTGCTCTAGCCATAGCCTAACCCAACCTCACTGGGCTAAAGGCAACCCTACAGTTGGTCACTCTCATGTTCCACAAGCCTTATCCCAGAGTTAGAGTTTCCTTGGTTCTAGCCTTAGCCCTCCCTATTGCAATTTAAATCCACTTCGTCTTGCCTTGTCCTCAATGGAGATGAAAAATACTATTTGCCATTTCTCATCTGGTAATTCTTCTCATTCCTGAAGATGCTCATCTCACACAAAAATGTCCTTGAACCAAACTGTCATTGCTTGAGAAGTAGTCTTGTTTATTTGCTTGTTTGTTTGGGAGGGATCATAGGGAAAGAGAGATAAACACTGAAATCTAAGAGCTCTGAAAGCCCTTCAGTTGAATATGGTCATACTATTTGAATACTATAGTATTCACATTTCAGTTATAGGTTTTCCCTACAACTTGAACTAGTTCTTATCTTAAGTGTCAAGCACAGGAAAAAGTAGGGTCTGGATGGAAATAACAAAACAGAGTGTTCTTGCATCTGCCAATCATTCTAGTTAGAATTTTATGGTGCTTTCTGAATCACTCTTGAAAAACAAGTTACATCTGCCCTCCTTTCACTCCAGCCAAGTTCCTTGGTGGTTATCAACAGTCACTGCTCTGTCATGGGAATGAAAAGCCTTATTTTCACAGGGGTGAAATTTTTCAGTTTAGGCTCTGTTGGATGCAAAGTAAATATAAATCCTGTTATGTAGAATTTTACTGTCAACAGTAGTATGATATCCACTCTACAAAAGGGAATATTGCATAGGAGAAAGAACTCCGTACCTGGAGTTAGGCAAGACCCAGATTCAAACCCCAGCTCTATCCCTTCCTAACAGTGACATTGGTCATGTCCCAGAATCTCACTGAGCGCTATTTTCCTCACCTATCAAATGGAGCTAATAATGCTCCTGCTACTTACTTCTCAGAGTCAGTGTGAGGAAAATTATTTAGAAATGTTAAAGTGCTATGTAACCATGAGTTATCATTTTTATTTTGCCTATTTTATTTTTTTAAAGGACACAATTTTCAGCTACAAAGATCTACTGAAATTTTACAGGCAGGCATATCTGTTGCCGGTCTTTCACACTCTCAAAATAAGGAGCAAACATACATAATAGCATTTCAGGTACCCAAGTAATTTCAACTAGCTGTGTTTGAGGAAAGGAAGATAATTTCTGAAAAGTCTGACCCTATAACTGTGACAAGGTAGTAATGTAATAATAATTCATATCGTCTTTAGTACTCTTACAACTTTTGAGTGTGAATTGGATTAACCTTACATATTTATATGTGTCAAAACTGCGAATAGAGTTTTCCAAAGAAAAGTATTAACTATCTAGATTTCTTCCTAAAATATATAACTTCAATACATTTAGGGTCTTGGACTTATGAATTTCCATTTTTTGCTGCATGATAGAATAGGTGAGAATCAGTAGACCACAATTCATGCTGTACTCTATTTTAGACCCAGTCAGATAAAATCCTTTTCAACACAGTGAGATTTTCATAGAATCATAAAATCCTAAATGCAGAATTGAAAAGAACTATTGCTGGGTTCAAATCCCAGCATTGCTATTTACCCCTCAGTTCAATTTGGACAAGTCACTAAATATCTCCAGATCTCAGTTTCTTTATCTGTAAAATGAGGAATTTGAACCAGATGTCCTCATGGTCCTTTCAAACTGTAATTTCCATTCATTGGTCACAGTTCTGCCCACTGTGGTGAAGCAGAATAAGTCTGATTCATTGTCTACATATGAACACAGTGCCTGACACATAGTAGGCATTTAATAAATGTTGATTGACTAAACTATCAAACAGCATTTGTTATGTCCAGAAGTAGTCTTTTCCAGGCTGAATATTTTCTGTGGTTTTGAATCCCTTTATTATTCTGGTCACCATCTGCTAAATGGGCCCCAATATATCAATATTCTTTCTAAAATGTGGCACCCAGGAGAATGCTGCAGGTGTGATCTGAACAGGGCAAAGGACAGCAAGGCTTGCTGTCACTGTCCTCAATCTGAACCCTATGGTTCTAGGAAGGCAATTTAGAATGATTACTGGTTTTGTGCTTGTTGCTGATGATT